TGTGTGTGTGTGTGTGTGTGTGTGTATTTTGTAACATACTTACATCCAGCTGCCCCTGCAGCACAGCGGGCACACGCACACCAGCAGCAGACTCAGAGTGTTCATGTGTCGGACTCCGCAGTTCCGCGCCTCCATCCCTGCTCAGCTCCGCATGCTGACAGCGACCCGGCCCGGAGCAGGCTCCTGAATCCCGCTGAAGGAGTCCTTTCTCTACTGTGCTCTCCTCGATCTGCAGGAGAGGAGAAGCACCCTGGACCAGTCCCAGTCCCGGACGGTTCTCATTGGACCAACTCAGGACTCAGCAGCTGACGTCAGAGCTGGGCTATAACTGGCTGGATGGGTGAGAGGCTTCATGATAAAAAACTTCGTGCTGACATCTGATCCCCGAAAAGCAAATAAACGACGGAACACAGTAGAAAAAAAAAATCTAAAAGTGGCTGATTTTTGAATGAGGTTTGGTGAAAACATTTTAGTTATATAAAAATAAAACTTTAAAAGATTAAAACTGAAACGATTTTGTGAACTTAGAAAACAAACCAAAATGCAAAAACGATACGGAGGAAATATGCTTTTAATATCTGAGATCAGAATTTATTACAACTGATGAGAAAACGTGTTTGCTGAGAGTCACTGCTTTCAGAAAGTTCAGAGTTTCTATTGTAGTGCCTGTACTTAATAAAGATTAAAACTAACTAATAACACAGAAACTATTAAAAACGAAACATTTTTGAAATAATGAAAACTAAAGGAGTAAATTCTCCCTGGAAACTAAACTGAACTAAAACGAAAAAGTCAAAATGAAATAAAAATAAACAATATTTAGGAAACAATAACTCTGTTGTTGGATTTTTTTGAAGAATGCTTGTCAAAAAAACGTAAAGAAAACTTTCTTAAAGCAACTTTTGTCAATATGACCAAAAAATGCAATAAATAAAAAACAATTTATTTCCAAATTCTGGAGCTTTCAGCCTCCTCTGTGGACCTCCAAAAGTTATTCAAACACCTAAAATCTGTCCTGATGAAGCTAGAGATGATAATAATAATAACAATAATAATAATAATAATAATAAAGAGAAAAAGATGAGTTTTGTCCACTGGTGTTTTATTAAATGTTATAAAGCCATAAGTGAGACGGTGTTTAAAAGACTGAGTGGTTGTGGTTGTGAATGTGTTCACAGTTCAGGATTAAAAACTTTTGTTTGACTTTTTGTTTTTTGTATGAAGAGCAGAATGAGCACAGTCATAAAAAATATTAATTTCTTCTGTTTTCAGCTTATAAAAAGACACATTATACATCTGTAGAAAAATATAGAAATATAAGCAGAGTCATAAAAGACGCTTCTGTCATGTGATGAAGAGCTTTCATCAAGTCTTTGGAGTTAAAACTGGTCTGACATACAGAATCGATCAATCAGTGAGGCCTGAGGCTAAGTCTGAATCAGGAAGCAGCTGCTTGAATCCACGCTAACTCATATCACTGTCAAACACACGGGCCAGCGAGAAGCAGCTGGTGCAGTCAGCAGAATTATGGCAGAGGATTTTTCTGGTTCTGAAATGGAAAATCCCAGCAGAAGGTCAGAGATTAACAGTCCTGCTGCTGGGACTGAAATGCTGAAAACTTTAAACATCTGCGAGCAGCAGGAACCAGCTGAGCGATATCTCGAGTAACCTCTGCTTATTAGAAGCCAGCAGCTGAGTCTGAGACCCTCAGCGTCTCGTCGGATTGGTGCTCCTGAGCTGCACAGTGAGGCTTCTGTTCATTCTGAATAATCCACCTCCACCATTGAGTCCCCCACCCCTCTCTGAAGTCCACGTCCTGGAGGGGGACAGGTGACTCTCCCGAAGGATTCACCTGGCCCCTCCTAGGTGTTCAGTTTCGGGTAATGGGACACAGGCGGCTCAGAAGGATCTCAGAGTATACTTGGTTCACTGGTCCTCTAACACGATAGGTTGTGGGTTGAGACCCCGCCTCCTGCTCCGTGTCTGGCAGGGTTGATTGGCTGCCGAGTGTATGTACAGTTCTCTCTGTTCTGGTCGTGTTTGCGGTGGACGTTCTGTCACTGGAAAGTTTTGTGGACCAAAACTTCTCCACCTGAGAAAACAGAGCAGAACATCAGCTGTGAGGACTGCAGCCCTGACCATTGGAAGCACTTCGTTTGCTGATAAATAAAGTTGTGTTACCTCGTGAAAGTGACAGGCACAGCGTCCCTGCAGGAACTCTTTGTATCGACCCATCGTGATGCTGAACGTGTCAATCACTTCGTACCCATGATGCTTGGCGGTGGTGATGATGTCGTCGTTCTCCCTGTACAGGTCCCGTATCTCTGTCTGAAATATTGATCAAAGAAAGCAGCTTTAATTCCCATAGAGGGGTATGAATGACAGCAGGAACAGGAACCTACCAGACTGAGAGACCTGATCCCGTCCACAGGCAGATGGAAGCCCATCCCTAAAGACTTCACCACCACCAGGATGTTACTGAGAGATTTACTGAGGAGGGACAGAAGTAACCTCACGTTACCATAGAAACCAGAGTCCTCAATAACATTGCTAATCCCGAACGCTAAACCCCGGGTTACTGTCTTTACTGACAGGGTTTCTCATGTTACAGGAAATGCAGGACTGGAGTACAGGTGAACCTTAGGGATCAGCGTTAGGTCCTCTGTTCTTTAGATCAGTGTAAGCCCATATGGAGATAACACTGTGGTTTATACTGTATGTAGGTGGTGTTACACTGTGTCTCCTCACTTGTCCAGCACTTCACTGACTGTCCTCAGGTGATTGGTGTTGAGCCACTGGACTCCTCCCACAACCAGAACTGTTTGGTTAGAGTTCACCAGAGGCTGAGACCTTAACAGACAAGAACAAGAAAAGTCACCTGTTAAATATCTCACGGCTTCATGTAACATGCCTCAAAAGTGGATTGTTAGGACCTCACCTGTTGAGCAGCTGCTGCAGAGCCTCCCTGAACGTGGGTCGCTGCTTCTTCTCCAGCCAGAACTGAGGATAGTACGAGTAGCTGACCAGAGTCCGTCCTCTGTTCAGGTTCCTGTAGACCAGCGTGTCGTGAGCTTTGTCCCAGTCCTCCAGGGTGGAGTTCACCCTCTCCATCAGGAAGTACATCATCCCACGATTTGTTGAGTCCCCAATAAACAACAGCTAGGAGCAATGAGAGAGCTGGTGATGTACCTCCATCAGGACGACTGCCACAAACTGAGACATCTGAGATGGACTGGTTCAAATCAGCTGATCAGGTGACCTTACCTTTCTGTCCTTCATACAGTCCTGCAGCAGTGGGTGGTCCACTATTGGGTGATAACAACCATCTGCCTGCCAGGAAACTTCCCTCCAGTCGCACGTCCTGTTGTCAGAACAACTGAGGCATGGAACAACCCAGCGTCCTGTCAGGCAGGTGAGACACACAGGTGAGGTGGCGAGAACAAAAAGTCACTTGACTTAAATTTGATGTATTATCTTAAGGAAGCAGTCCACCGGCAGGACCTCAGACCTGACACGTGTCCCGAGCTGCAGGCATTACGTTGACTCTGGGATTTGCTGTGGGGCTGAAGACCGCAGGAGCGATCTGGCTGGACCAGCAGACCGCAGTCCTGAACAACAGACATCAAACTGTGACAAATTTGCAATCAGCACTTTCAGGAAGTTCTGAACCTCCTGTGTGCGATTTCTGACTGCAGTACTCTGCAAATACTACGAACTGTAAATATAAAATGGCAAATGGACTGGGTCTTTTTTATACTTTATTTTATTGTTTTATATTGTTATTTGTTGTATTTTTATTCTTTTTAATTTTGTGAAAATTATGCACTTTATGATTTTTATTTCACAGAATTTTATCTGTGAAAAGCGCTATATAGATACATTTTATTAACTTCTTATATAGCATTTTTCTTCTGTATCTGAGCACTCAAAGCACTTTACACAAATTGCCTTAATCACAAGCACTTTTTTCGATGCCCTTTCGTGTAAGTACTTTCTATCTAACATTCATACGCATTCAAACTCCGATGGATGCATTGAAGAGCACACAGACTAGAGCAGATGGGGATCAAACCACCTACTGATAAGTAGGTGATCTGCTCTACCACCTGAGCTACAGCCACCCCAAATAACACACTTTACCACTCAGAACAGTAATAGTGGAGGAATTGAGATGTTCTGGACACAGATGAAGAGGAAACAAAGGAACCCTCAGAGGAAGCGTCAGTCTGAAGTTTCCTTTAAAACCTGAAACTGAAACGAGTTTTTACTATTTTGTTTAATAAACACTTTACAGCTGGTTACATTGGTAAATCGAATAGATTCTGTTTTCTACTCATAGAAAATTACACATGAAAAACTTAAACACATGACTGCACCATTTTTAGTTTTAATCACTGGGTTTGATTCCCTGCAGGGTCAGAGGTCGCGTCCATCCCAGTGAGCTTTGGCCTCTGAAAGTAAATCTGCTGTTTGAGATCTGAAGCTTCTCGCTGTCAAACACCACGTCTTCTTCTTCATGTGCTCGCTGCTTCCTCCCTCAGAGCTTCTCTTTCATCCTCCTCTGTGGATCCGTCCCCGTCCTCCTCTGCTCAGAGGTCAGGAGTCAAGCAAAGCGATCCACGCTCACCTCAGAGTCCCCGTGGGAGCCTCCAGGTCTGGCGCAGACTTCACAGCCACCGCCATCACAAACGCTGGCTCTTCTTCTTCTGCTGCTGTTGCAGGTTTCGTCGTGGCGGCGTCACATTCCTCACGTCAGCGGCACAGCTCGCAACAAAGTGCGACAAGAAAACTTAACAGGGATTTTCTTGTTCGTACCTGTGCTCAGTGTACACGCTGCTCCGAGATCATCTCCAAACACACCGCCTCCAGCAGCAGCGGACCGTTTGAGGCCTCGCCGCCGCCACGTCGCCCCCAACTCTGACTTCATCGAGGCCGCGGCCACGCGCTCCTCTTCCTCACTCGGACTCAGAACAGCAACAAGAACTACAGCTTTTAAAACTGAGAGAGATGTGAGCCTTTCCTTCTGATCAGAATTTAATTTCTGCTTCAAACTCCATCACAACGCGACGAGAGAGCACAAATGTCACTTTAACCATGGCGTCAGCTTTTGTGTAAAAGCAGCTACTGAAGCCTGATGATGTCAGATATGATGTGCAGTAAAAAATGATTTTCTTTGTCAGAATCAGTTTTATAACTTCAGGGGCAGGGCTTTTTGCTTTTTGCCTGGATGATAAAAGAAAACTGTATTTTATTTTTTAAACTATCAACTGGGAGTTTAAATATGCAAATATAATAAATCATTTTCAAATTTCGTGTCCACAGGATAGGACAGAGCTGATAGAGTGCCACAGAGCAAACGCCAGATCACAGGTCTGAAACACTCGTCAAACATTAAAAACTAAATGAATTTGTAAATGAATGTGTTTAATGTGTCAGAGTGCCGTAATTTCCTGCTGATAATGAATGTGACGTGCTGTTTCATGCTTAAACCTTATTATTATTCCTGAACAGGTTAATTTTTTGGATATTTCATCCGTTTGTAAACAATATTTTCCTTCATTTTGGAAATCAGTGCGGTTTTTATTTTTAGTCAATAAATATTTGATTTTTTAATGATCACACTATAGTTCATTTCACATACACTAGATGTTTATGATGTACATTATTTACTTTTAAATAATTTCTAATAAAACAAGAATAGAAACTGGGGAGACCAGGTGTGGTTATAACATGGGAAGAGTTGCAGCAGCAGGAGTTGCACCAATTAGGGATGAGACATCAGGGTTCACCCACTTCTATCCCTGATTTTAAACGGGGGTTGTCACAGGCATATGCGGATATTACTGAGAAAACAAGAACAGGAAAAAAATTTTTTTCACACAGCTGAAGATTAAATATGATATGACTTAGAGTACATTAGTACTTAGTGAAGCACTTGCTAGTTTCAAACCACTATGCTAATACAATTAACTAAACAATGACTGACAGGGGTGGGGTGGATTGTAACATGGAAACATGGACCGAGAGGTGTACCTGCTGATATTTGACTGACTCGCTCTTCAGTCAGATCAGTGATGAAGGAACACAATGAGCTGATACTGCAAATCATTGCAAACGCTGACACAACAGCGGCCCAACAATCTTCCCCGTACTGGTTACAGGAGCAGCAATAAAGTTTTCTGTGAGGCACAGGAGAACCAGCCAAGCAGCAGACCCGTGTCATGGACTGACTCCACGTCAGGCAAGATGACAAGGCAGAGAATACTAGCATAGCTGCCTCAGCAACAGAAAAGCTTTTTGTGTCAAGGTACATTAAGTGCTATTCTTTCTTTATTTCAGGTTCAAAAGACAGACGAGGAAGGAGAAGCAAAAATGCAAGAAAGAATATGTTAGTGAGGAATGAAGGCAAAGAGAAGCAAAAGAAAAAAAACCTGCCACAGAAGTGTCGAACTCTAACGCTGCTGAGACAACTTGTTATAACATGGCACCAATCTGCACTTCAGGACAACCAACATCCATTTATCATAACTGTGAAAGGGATTAAGAATGTACACACACACACTGGCACTGATTTTTATACACATAATAAAAAAGCTTTCAGACCTAAATGCTTTTCACACGGTAACTGTTCCTTAAGCATTCATACTGTCACGAAAGTTTGTTCTAGTACCGTACACTAATTTACACACAGCGGTGTGTTTGAGTCGTAGTTCAACACCATGTTCTCTGTTTTTGCTTCTTTTATTTAACAGCTAACGCTGGTAGTGTTGTAACAAAGGAATGCCGCGTATTAACCATGTGAGAATGTGTGTGTGTGAGTGTGAATAAATAAAAGAGAAAAAGACAAACTGCTGAACATGAAAAGAGGATTCTGAGTTTTTTCTCCGCCTGCAGGAATGAGGTGTGGGTGGGGGTGGGCTGTTTGTGTGGTGTCAGCTGGAATCCATCATAGAGGAGCAGAAACACTCCGATAATCCTCCCATGTGATTGCAGAACTGATCTCAGGTCTGAGAATCTTGGTAAATCCGGATCAGCGCTCATTAGATCATCTGAGCCGCCGCCGCCGCCTCCTGTGGGAAACTCAGACCTCCAAACGGAGCAGTGGGTGGAGATGGGAGAGGAGGAGGTCTGACAAAACCAATTGAGAAGAATCAAACACACACGCAGCAGTCCAAATACATTCAAAGAAACATCTGCAGCAACATCTGCCTGCTGATGGGGTTCATAACCGGAGAAGTGGAGGTGTGGAGGCATTCACACAAGATGCTTGGACTGAACCATTAGTGCACATGCAGTGGGGAGATTCATGCAGGCCTGTAACCCAGAGCTGGAGCAGAGGTGGACATGAGTGGGTGGAGACAGCTGGACTCAGACCAGCGCTTCAAAAGCCTCATCAGCTCTGAGGCGGGTGGAGGGCGGAGGGCAATAGCAGAACACGGCATTGAGGAAGATCACGACAACGAGCAGTGGAAGATGCAGACTTTAAATACACAAGGCAAATGAGGGAACAGAGCACAGCTAAACATAGTCTAACTAATAAGACAGGGAAGCCAAACACAACATCCTGCACACAGGCCAGGAGACTATCAAAGTAAAAACCAAAGTAAGAGCGAGGGACAGACAGAGAGAGCGAGGGATGGAGAGACAGTGTGAGGGGAGAGAAAGACAAACATAAATTACCAGACATGTTGGGCTACACAGTGAAATAACAGGGAAACAGACAACTTAACATGGAGAAAAGACTGAGTTCAAAGAAGGACACTGGGACAGGAAACTAGACACAAGAGGACGGGGAATGAAAAAAGAAAACCTCCGATAACAAGCTGAGATCTGGGGATACAAACAGATATCAAAAGTATAACCAAAACAAGGACCTTCACCTCAGAATATTATATAAACCAAAATCAAAAATCCAAAAGAGAAAAAATCCAGGTACAAAACCCAGGATCATGACAGGTGAGGGCGGAGGGCAAGCGCGGAGCTGGGTGCAGCTCAGGGCTTGGGAGTGGCTTTGTGGTTGTTCTCTGAGCTCAGCATCATCTGAAAGTTGATAAATGAGCTGCTGCTCTGCGTTTCCACAGAAACAAACAGGCCTAATGGGATCATGCTGCAGACACGAGGTCAAAGGTCAGAGAGTCGCAGCCAAAACATTTTGTTCTGTTTAGGTTACGAATGAAAAGCTGCTTCACGCTACCACTCCACATCCCACACAGTCCAGAGAGGGAGGAGGCGGAGCCTCCAGAGCATGATGTTTCTGATACTGATCCATCAGCTCTGGCTCACCCGCCTGCAGAGACAGGCCGGAGGTCTGAGACGTGCTGGTGTGCACAGGTGTTCTCAGAGAGATTCACAGGTGAGATGTCCTCACAGAGCTCCAGCATCACAAACACATACAACAACGAACCCCCACCCTGCTGTCTCTGAGCCGGCCAGTGTTCTTCTGTCTTTAGCTGACCAATCAGGACATGAACATCTGCAACAATGAAACATCTGGATGACACATCTGGACTGAGCTACTGCTCTCACAGAGGAGCTGAAGGAGTGGGTGGGTGGGGGGACCAGCTAGAAGTGATTTATTCAGACTCACAATGAGCTTCAAACAACAACT